CGCAGGGTGGTGTAACCTCCCTGCCTTCTGCAGAGCCCCAACTCCCTGGACCACACTCGGTTGTAAAGCAGGCTCGGTGCAGGCCCCAAAACAACCTGGCCGGAAAAATTGGAATTCCGCTCGGGATGATGCCACTGCGCCTAGAGCCCTAGACACTCACTCCGGTCTGATGTCTGTCTTTTGGGCAGAGGTGAGTGAAGACACACCACAGGATGAACGGACTCGCCATCCTAGAGAAAAGGAGGCCTGGACCGGCAAGCAGGGTTGTCTGGCTTGCCAACCTCCTCTCCAGAAGAGTCCAGCCCGGTGGAAAGGATGCCCAAGGTTAAGCCTTTCATGTCCGAAAGGGCCAGGGGTCTCCCAGCCTCAGCGTGCTGCCCTTCCACACAAGAGGAGGTTGGAAAGTCCTCTGGCTAACTCTGAGCCTCCTAATTGCAAGGAAAAGTAAAGCCCTCTTGTCTGGGGGCACTGGGCTCAAGCATTATAACTACTCATAGCAAAAATGTATTGAGTGCTAACTATGTGCCAGGCACTGTGTTACATCATGGCCTCATTAAATGCTCATGACTCTGAGATAGCTGTTTTTATTTCTCCTATCTTAGAGGTATGCACCCCACAACACAGAGGTAAAGCGGGGAGCCCAAAGTCACACAGCTCCTGAGTGAAGCCAGGAAGCTTCCAACGGCAGGCCCCAAGGCTTTCAAGAAAAGGGAACTTTAAGTTCAGGCCTGCGATACTCACCTACCCCTGGCTTTCGCAGAGAATGCCAGAAAGTAGGGTCACTTCCAAAAGCTGGAAGCTAGTTGGGTGAGACCCAAGGTGGAGAGCAGAGCTGAATGATGTGTGAACCTTTCTCCTCAGAGAATGTGAGGTGGGAAGAGGCCACTGCCTAAGCACTGAGCATCCGTCTCCACGTGAGTGTGCCTGTGTGCACGAGTGTGCACAGTGAGCGTGTATATCACTGTGTGTGCATCTGTGTCGCGGGGTATGGTTCAGTGTGAGCGCGTGACTGTGTGTCTGAGAGCGCGTGGCAGTATCGATGTGTCTAGGAGGTTACGGTGTGGGATGGATGTGCGCAGGGGAAGCCCCGTGCCTGAGGTCGCCGTGCATTCCAGAGCAGCCAACCGCGTCTCCCGAGGGCTGGGTGACTCACTGAGTTCTGCACTCAGCCAACCCCAGACGGGCTGCGGGGCAAACAGAGGGGAGGGGCCGCTGTAGGGGTTTGACCCCCAGCTTCCACTGCGCTGGGGCTCCGGCTGCAGGTTCCCCGCGGGGGCTCGGAAGCACCGCTGGGCCAGCACCTTGGACGCGGAGGCGGCGGAGACCTCCCAGGCGTAGGGCGCCGGCGCCGGCCGGGCAGAAAGGGCGGAGACGGAGCCGCCGGGCGCTGAGTCACTCACTGCGCCTCCAGCAGACGAAACCCGCGTCCAGACGCGGATGGGGGCAGAGCGCGAACATTCCACCGGGCCTGAGGAGCGAGCCTGTCCTGTCCTCACCGCAACTCGCTGCTCCCACAGCCGCAGGAAGATGTACAGGTCACCCTTGGTTGACCAGGATCCCCGCCTGGGAAGGGGCTGGAGGCTCCAGGCCGTGCGTGCCACCAAGGTGAAAACGCACACATCCAATGAAAACAATAATTTATTTAAATAATATATTCATAGTGTAAAGTCAACATGAAGAGCATGTTGTTTTCATAATAAATAACCCCCAAATACCTTTCATTTCAAGAACAAAGACTTTAGGATAAGATATAACAAATCCAAATCAGTAGCTTAGCTTAACTGAGAACATTTTTAAGGGACAAATAAAACGGAGGGGCTGCTGAGGTCACTGCTAAACCGGAGAGTTCACAAGTGAGGGTTTACAAAACAGTCTGAAAAGATGAGTATTTTATACAAATACATCAGTGGGGAAACCTGCACGGACACCTTTATTTACAAACTCTATGTCGAAGTCCCGGCTAATAACCCTGAATAGGTTTTAAAAAAGATAATTTAAACACATTTTTTTTGCAGTGTCCACATATTAAAAAATCATTTTTCCCCCCAACATCAAAATGAGGTCATCCGCAAAGGCACCTAAACTTTTAAAAAATAAAAATAAAAACTCCACTGGTGATGGATGAGGAGAGAGCTCAGGGGCGAGTTGGCGGCTGGGAGAGAGCTCCGCGGGCTGGGAACGGCGGAGCAGAAAAAA